CTTTAATTGCAAAAATGAATCAAATTCATAGTAATAATATGAAAACTAAGACTATTACCCGAATATCGAAAAAATGAAGAAAATCAGAGGCCTCGAATATTTCGGTATTATCACCAATCTTTATTTTTCGGTATTATCACCAATATATGTTTGAGAACAGTGTTTTTAGTATAACCAATTGAAAATTGGGCTTTTGCAGTTCATTCAGTTCGACGTACATATATAGCACATTTTCTTCTATGGAATAGTGGTCGTTGGGTTAGATAGATATATCAATTCCATTCGAACAGGCTTCCGTTGTTTCTTTTCCTAAAATATTATGCAAGTTAATTTTTCTTTAAACTTTGTATATGGCATTGAAAGACATTTTTCGTAGTTTTCCTGAAAACATCTATGAAGGTTATACGTGTGTCAGCCCCATAATAAAAAGTACTCCAATATAAAAATAACATCAATAAAAAGTAGCCTTTATATGTACGAGTAGAAAAATATTTTTTTGAAAGTCCAAGCTTATTTGTTGAATTTTTTTGTCATTAACTAAATTTCTCCTTTACTAAATAATCCTTTCTCTTAAAGTCAAAATGAATACTAAATTAAAGCTAACCGCAAAAGAGGAAAATACAAGTGAAGTGATATTGCTGCACACGAAAATTTATTTCCGACATGTCAAAAAATCTATCATGAACATACATAGGTAAAGGTTGATCTTGTCATCTTGCAATGCAATAAGGTAAGTGAAATTATTGCGGTAGAATACAAGAATAATTAATTGTTGCACAAAAATTTTCATTGCCTTCATAATCAACAGTATCATGTATATGAGATTCCTTTTCAATATAATTAAGTAGGTAACAATAAAGTAAAAAATTATAATAATTATTATGATGACAATAAATTAAACAAATATGCCCATTAGCTATTTATGCATTTTCAATTTTATAAATCATTTCAAATTGCATATATTACGGGGCACTATTATTAATTTTTCAATGAATTTTATAAATTTTTTAAAAAATTTTCTGTTTCAAATTAATTTCTTTATTTATTGGTACTGTAATAATTATAATATTTAACAGGATCTTAATAGAGACAAATTAGGAGCACAGTAAATAAACAAATTATCTGACACTCAAAGATATCCGCTTTAAACTATTTTACATTATGAAAATTTAATGTTATGCCGCCTAAAAATTTTTGGTATTAATAGTTAAATAAAATTTGTCACATTTTTTTTATAAACCAGTCAGTCAATTATGTAAATACCTTCTTAATTTAGAATACTTTTATTAATTTTTAAGTAGATTGTAGAACCTAATTTAGTATAACATTATGAATTTATAACATATCTGAATACAAGTTAGTAAAGTAAAATATTAGTGAAAGAAAAATGAAGAAAAAAAAAAACTCTATTTATAAAGCATATTAATGAAATTTTAATTAGCATGGCTTTCTTTGTAAATTATTCTCTATATTCTTTACATTAGTATAAGTAAAGTAACTGAAAGCTACTTTGTACAAGTAAATTTCATTTAAGTTAAAATATAAAAGAAGAAGAAAAAAAATTATTCATATACTCGTAAAGGATTCTTAATAATTTATGTATGAAGTGTTATAAAAGTTTTAAGTAATAAAAATTATAATACGGTTCTTATTCTATAGTTAACAAAATGAATTCAAAGTTATACACTGAATGAACATTATATAAAAGTATATAAAAAGAAAAAACTCTGCATAATATTAAAAGTTTTACAAACAAGGAAAAAAAAAAAGAAAATTAGTTTTCATTATAAGCTTCAACTTTTCTCTTTTTAGCTTTTTAAATTTCTTCTTGGATAATTTTTAAAAAAAGAATATTTTTATTTTATTTTTCATGGTTATAAAAAAAAAATGTAGCTGCTCTTGAAATAATTTCGAATTTACATTCTTCTCAAAGAAAGACGAAACGCGGTAACAAGTCCCCGAAATGTTAATAAATTTATTCAATACAAAATATAGGAAAATGTCTTCTCGCACTCTTCGTAGACAAGCTCAAATATTTCAGCATTAATAGTTGATGCTTCAAAATTTTCTTGTTTTCAAAATGTTTTTCTTATTTCCCAATAAAATTATTACTGTCACAATAATAAATTTATTACGGAATCAATGAATTTTTAATACAATTTTGAGTAATAATTTTTACATAGCTACAATTACATAAACGTGTACATTATTTACGCAAGAAAAATTTTTTTGTCTTAGACGACAGACATTTTGAAATCTAATTTATGTTTTTAAAATAATTTAAAATATTATGAGATTTTAATAACAATATAAAACTTTCATTAGAACTTAAAGTAATCATAATTTTTAAGTATTTTAAGGATTAAGTTTTCTTTTAATTCAGCTGGTGTTAAAAATCATCGACAAATATAGGCTGACCCACACTCTTATCAGACACTATTGATAGGTCATTAGTTTTTTTCTACGGTGTTTTTGTGTCTATATTCCGTGGAGAAAGACAATGAATTGCTGTTTCAACGCATTACTCTAACTCGAGACGTCTCATTCGCTTCAGTTTTTTTGTTCAAACCCTCTGTCCTATAAGTCAATAAGCCTCGACATTTACATGCTGTTATGATCGGACCCTATGCTTCATAGGACAGTTCTGTATTCCAGACCTTGGTCTGGAAAGATTGTATTTGTTGGATGTATTATGGCGCAACCTCATAGCTGCGAGCCATACGTTTACATAGGTTTTATGATTTGGCTATATATAAACACTTTATTATATGTTAACAATCCAGACCTGCCGCATAGGACCCAATAGTTTTCTCTATATATTTGTATTCTAATTCTATTCTTTTTCCTCTTTACATGTTCTTTCCACCTGAGCTTACCATCCAAAGCCATATACTTAAGAATTTCACTGTATTTTGGATTGATACTTTAACACCATTCAAACTCAATTGCGGCAGTTTAGTAAATTTTTGTTTGTAAAATTTACATGTACAAATTTACTTTCGTTTTGCTTTATTTTCCATGTATATGTTCTTTTACTCAGAATGTTACTTGCTACCTGTAACTTTTTGTCGATTCCTTAATATTAGCCAATGTTACACTCTCCAAAATCTGGCAAATTACTTGTATAAAGCACGTATATTAAGATTAAGTGGAATTCTGCTTTAAAGTTTGCGAAGGCCATTTTTATTATTAGTGCGAATGAAATGGGAAGCAAAAATTGTTCATTCATGCGTATTCTTCGTTCTATATTTTATTGGATCATATTAAATTTTGGTGAAGAATTTTAAGAATTTTAAAAATAGAATGAAATAAATAAATTATAAAATTTTAAAAAATATTTTTAGCAGAAAATTATTTTTCCCTAATTTTCCATCACAGTTTTTTTTTTATTTTGTTTTCTCTTACAATTTTTAAGTTTTTCCTTCCTGTATCGGTTTTCTTTTTTTTCGCAAATTTCATTACTATTTTTTGTTATTATTTTTTATTAAACATTTGATGACTGGGTCTCAATCAGCTCTTTAACATCGTTTTGTATTTATTTAGGATTTTAGAGGTCAAAAAACTAAAAAAATAATTTGGGAAATGACAAAAAACGAAAAAGGAAAAGGTCGAAGAGAGGGCTGGCTCTTTTGTATCTACTTCCCTTTTTTCCTCCTTTTATAATAAAAAATTATATTTGTTATTCTTTATTATTTATTTAAGATAATTTTCTTTAACATGACAAATACGTCTTGTTGGATATTTTTAAAAAAAGACACAAACAATATTAGATGTACATATATGTATACATATATTATGTATTGTATATATGTATGCACATGTATTGTTGTTATTGTTTTCCCGAAAACAGTTACCTTAATTTTAAATGGAAAAGTTAAATATAATTTTTCAACTTAAACAAAAAAAAATCAATTCTAAGAATATTCTCAGTAGCTTTAAAATTATTTTAAATATATAGGTTTCACGGGATTTTAAAATATTGTACAAGTACAATTGAAATATTTCAAAAAATTTAAATTATCGTTATATCAATGTCGTAGACTTTTTAATGTCATTATTAACCTTGAACTAAATCGTTATTAAAGTTGAAATTCCAAATGGATTGCTTAGAATTAAAAATAAAAAGTAAGACTGTGATTAATTGGATATTTTTTGCTGATAACTTTTGAAGTAAGTGAGTAATTTTTATGGCAAGAATGTAACAAACAAATTAGCGTATAGTAAATCACTCGTTAATAGCGTACGTGAAATACCGTATCAGAAACACTCGTTCTCTCATTTTAAACTTTTTTTGGTATTATTGGAATTTATTTCAAATTCAATTGATTTATAACTTCTTAGTGTAGTAATTTCAGTCACTTTAGCCCAAAATAATAGAAGTAATTGGTTTTTGCTTTCCCAAAGAAGTATAAAACTGTTGCATGATATCATAATTGAGTCACATTTCAGTTTTGTTATTCATTCCTTTAACTACATTCTGTTATATGGAGTATAACACTTTTAATACTATTTTTTTTTTAAATTTATACCAGTAGCAATGGAATACTATCCTATATAATTTTTTTAATTACTGACCTCTGTTCAGATTTTGAATTTAATAGGCTTTCCGTTGAAAAACCGGGGCATAATTAATGTACCTAATGATTTACTTATAATTAGTCAAAATACTGTCCTTACGTTATTGAAATTACTTTATTTGAAATAGTGATAATCTAATTTGGTTGGCTATACTAATATACTAACCCAACAATTAAACAGTTTTAAATATAAATTTTGGAGAATTTAAGCTAAAATATTCGAATTTAATATAAAAAATTATTATTAAAAATTTTAAGAATGAAAATTTAAGTTTACGATAATAGGTTCTACTATTTCACATGGGCTTCTTTCACATGGAAACACAACAGCATTTCAACTGTTGCAATTGTTTCAACAAAATTTCCTATTGATATTTTAATATATTAAAATTATTATTATATTAAATGTGTTCCAAAACTTACAATATTATTACTTCATATACTCATTCTTCTATAATACTACAACAATCCAGCAAAGAATTTTGAATTCTATAATAATTATTGTTGGCTTCTTGAAATTGTTAAAATCTTTAAAATTTTTCTTCAAATTTATAATTTTCTTTTAGAATGATTTGTTTAATAATTAATTTGAATTAATTATTAGCTTAATCACCTCTTACAAATATCATTATTTTATTTTAATTTTATTTTGAATAAATTTTTCTTATTAAATAGTTATTAATTATATATTAATAATAAATAATTATATATTAATTTTCTTATATATTTGTAAATATTAATTATTTAATTAATAATAATTTTAAATTATAAAACACTTTATATATATATTTGACATTTATATATAGGTAATATTAATTTACAACATTTATTATGACAAACAATTAATATTAAATATTTTTTTTTTAACACACAATATACACAAATATTTTTTAATAAATTTTAAATATTATTTAATAATTATTTTATGATTTTAATTTTCTCATTTGAATATTAGAACTGAATTTAGCTCATGTAAAAATTTAAAATTTATGGTAGTAGTATTAAGGAATTAAAAATCTTGGGAATTTATTATTAATTTTTTTTAATTATTTTTTAATCAGAAATGTGTACATTTTTGTATTATTCGTAATCTTAATATGAAAAATAAAAAAACTTGTTGCTTCCAACTTAAATTTTTTCTTGTTTTTTTCTTAAATTTTTCTAGTTAATTTTGTTTTTCAAATCACAGTAAAAAATACCTTATTTTTATTCCAAATTTAATACTGAATAAATTTCTGAGAAAAGTCCTTTTATTAAATTTGTTTTTTTTTTTCAGAAAAACAAGCAAAAAGAAAATAAATTTTCTTCTGAAAAAAATTTTATTGTATTTTTAATAATATTTTTAAATTTCCTTATCCGTTTTGATTTTTGCCATAAAAAAATTTTTTTTTTTTAAATAATTTTTAAAAAATTTCAATTGTTCCAATTTTTTTAATAATGTTGTAATTTTGAAACCGTTATATTAATTTTCCTCTCATTATTCCAAATAAAATTTATTGATAATAAAAAGAATTTTAATATTTCATTGCCGCCAACACTGCCACTAAATTAAAATTTTTTTTTAATTTTCATTTAAAACGCATATTTTTAAGGTCGTCATTTTCTTTTTAATGACAAATATTTTAACAATAAACTTAATAAAAAAATTGTAATTCTAATTTCTTTTATTTTTTTTTATTTTTAAAAATAAAAAATATTGAGAAATTAAGTGTAAAGGAGGAGTGCAACAGTTATATTGAGATTCCGTTTAGATTCCGACACCGTAATCTGAGGAATTGAAATGAAGAACTAAAATTTAAAATTCTAAAACACTTTCTTTTATAAATGCAATAAGCGACGAACATTTGAATGTGAAAGTAATTTGAAGAATTTTTTTTTTTTGATTTCTTTTAATAAAAAAATGTTAAGCTTTTTCTAAACCAGAAATATAAAGTAACATTTTAGTAACAAGTAAAAGTCATAAGCTTTTTCCAAACGAATTCAATAGCACATTGCTGAGATAATGAAAACTTTTTCTCTCTTAATAAAAATATTATAAAAGCTTAATTGAAAAAGAGAAAAAAATTTCTTTGAAAGAGCAGAGAACGTTCATGAAGAAAGCAGCGAAATGATAACAAAATAATAAAAACAAAAGAATAATAAAGAGCAGAAGATTAAAAAGAAAAAAAAGATCCTTAATTGCTGTTTTCTGATGTTTATGTGTGTGTTATGGTTATTCACCTGTTAGATTTTTGTAGTATTACATTTTGTAGTGAAAACGATTTTCTATAATATAACATTGTTTCTCAAACTTTCAAATTTATTTTAATTGAGTAATTTCCAATGTTCCTTTTTTTCCATTGTTCAGGTATTTTGGTTTTCATAAGGAAATTTTTAACAAAATGTTATAAGTAAAAATTCCATATAAAATTTTTTTATAAGAATTTTTTGTTGTAGATTTTAATGTTAAAAACTTACCTACTCATATCATATGGGATGGCAATATTTCATGAACAAGCAAATTCATGTTATCAGCACATTTCCAATAAACTTTAAGATTGAAGGCCAAAATTTTGTATACAAATAATTTTTCTAAAGATTCATTTTCACTTGAAGATGATATAAAATTTATGACCCTTCAAAATCATAAGGATATCAGGATTTTTTGAAAATTTATTAGTTCGAAGCCACAAAATAATTTCTTTTGCAGAAAAATTTCGACTAACTTCTTCTAAACATTATAACGTAGCAAAATATCAGTTGAAATTTACTCTTATCTTAAAATAATTTTTCCAAACGTTTTAACATAGCTTTCCTCTTAGAAGGCATCATTTAGAATCGCAATTTGTATAAAATTTTAACAGATGGCAGGAATCATTAAATTTTTTTTAATATTTCACAATTTTCATTTTTCATCGCCTCGCAAAAGAAGCGAAAATTTAAATTTAATGATAAATTTAAATTTTACGGGATACTTTTAAATTTTAATTAATAATTCTTATTAATTGTGAGTTTGAAGCTTTTTCGACTTAAATTTTCTATACCATAAAACTAACTGTAACCGTCATAACACTAAAAATTCTATATATTTATTTATTTAATCCGACCATTGGTGCAGCGGTTATGGCACCCGTCCTTTAACTCTCGGGCTCAAACCCCGGTCAGGTCACTATAAAAAATTATATTCAATATTATATAACTTAATATACAATACTAATAAATATAATACAAGTAAATTTCAAATATTCGTAATATTCGATATTAAAAAACTAAGACAAAATAAACAGTAAATATTAATAACCTCAAATAATTAATGCTCCTTCTAGGAGTGAATAAGAAAAAAAAAAAAAAATTTAACCTGGCCCAAATAGTATTTGAATTCGACAATTAAGTCAACATCGATTTCGACAATCTTTAATTTTTACTCTGAACCTAAAAATATGCAATATTTATTGAAGAAATAAAAAAATTTAAGCAACTAGCCAGCAGAATATTTTTTTTGAATTTTTTATAATTGCAGGCAGATTAGTTTATTACTGGATTTTGAAAAATATTTTTAGTTTTTTGCTTATTGTAAATAATTTTTTAAAGATGGAAGGCTGTTGAATTGTTTAAGATTATGCGGATAGTGTGCAAGTTATATATTCGCTTACGCCCGGAACACCAAAAAATAAAATTTAACTATAACTAAAATTAAATCGAACGTTGCGATCAAATTTCCATACTTTATTACTTAAACCTATTCTAAATCATTTAATCGCAACGTGATTTGACAAAAACAAAATATTTATTTTAAATTAAAATTAAAATTCAACGTTGCAATTAAACTCCTATATGAAATCATTTAATTGCAACGTGATTGAACTTTTACAGACAAAACTAAAGCAAAGTTCCAAATATTCAAATTACAATATTAAAACTTTCCCATGAGAATTATTCTAAACAATTTTTTGCTTACTAAACAGTTATTTCTTATAAATAGAGTAAATTCAATAGCAACTTGGCTTGGTTGGTAATTCAGTAGCTCGTTAGTTATTAAATCGTTTTGCCGTTTAGAAAATAAAGATTTAAAAATAAAGTTAATAAGTTTGGAATTAGAAATTAAAGTGTAATTAATTAATAAATGAAATAAAAAGAACTTTTATAAATCTTAAAATATTTTTTTGTGTAAAGTAAAAACTTATAATTTAATTGGCGCAGTCGGTAGGATACCGACTCCGTCTATAAAAACAAAAAAAAATCTAAACAAAAAAAAAGAAAACACTAATATTTTTCTTAAGTCAATTTAAATGAACAAAAAACTAGAAAATAAAATAGTGTAATGCTCAAACCATTAAGCAAAATTAAATAATAATAATAAAAAAAAAATTTTGTGGTGAACTGAGTGATAAAAGTTTAGTTGTGTAAAGGCGGAGAACTTTTTTCAAAAAGTTAATTCGGTAAATAAACGAACAAAAATTATAAGTAAAACACAAATAAAATATCTATTAAAAGATCTTTAATCAAATCAAATTTTACAACTAATTAAATTGATAAAACAAAAATTATAAAAAGAGAAAAAAAAAAAAAGAAAAAAAAAAAAAACCAAAATATTTTTTTTTTTTTAACATTTATGAAGAAAAGTGAAAAAGAAAAATACTTTGATAATCTAAAAAATATACAAAAAAATTTTAACATGTCACTTGCTGCAATTACATTAAAAGACTTGATAGGCGAAGCTCGTTCAGTACCAATTTTTACTGGACAAGACGCCTACAGTCTAAAATCCTTCATCGAAGAAGTCGAAAGTTTAATTGCCTTAGCAGCGGATGCCGATGCAAAAAACTATCTATACAGAATTTTGTACAGCAAGATCCAGGGTCCTGCAGCGGCAGCAATCCGGAGAATTCAGGAAAAAACTTGGGACGAAGTAAAACAACAACTGAAAGCTACCTTCGGAGTACAGAAATCTTATTTGAAATTAAAAGAAGAAGCAGACTGTATAATTTTTAGAAATGTAAGTGATCTTTATGTTAAACTAAATTCCATATTAAATTTGTTAAATTTAAAATATGATTTGGATGACAATAAATCTTCAGAATTTAATCCAATTAATAATGAAAATTCAATATTAGAAAAATTTTTGAATAAATTAAATAGAGTAGACTCAATGTACCTTAGAACTAAAAATGTAACAACATTAGAAGACGCTTATAGAAGCTTATTAGAAACCAATATATCCGACAGCAAGGTTCCAAACACCAACTCTCAGTATAGGAACAATAATCATACAAATTACAGAAATAACCATAACATAAATTCTAGACATAGTAGTAATAATACAAATTCCAGAAATAACTATAGAAACGCAAATAGAACTTTCAACAATAACAATTACAATAACAACATAAGAAACACTTACACAAATAGACCAATGGACAGAAACTACACTACTAACGAAAAGTTTAGGAATTTTAGGCCCAACCAACAATTTGGTGGTACAGGTAATAATCTACCAGGACCATCTTATAACGAAAATCGGTCAAGTCCAATTCCAATGGACGTGGATTCGGGTTCCACAGAAAATTTTCACTGTGGTCCCCCTATCCGACATTACCCTTAGTAGACTTAACAATAGAAGGCAAAAGGCTGACCTGTCTGATCGACACAGGATCAGTTACTTCAATTATAAACGGCAATATTTTTGATCGATCTAAACAAAACAAATTAGAAAATCCAATTCAATTAAAAACACTCGCAGGAAACCAAGCCATTAAATACGAAATAACTACAAAAGTACCTGACGAGTTCAATGAAAATTCAACTATGTCCTGGAAAGTAATGGATCTTAGCAATAAAACTTTGACGCTCTCTTAGGCCAAAATATTTTAAAACCAATAGGAGCAAATATTAATCTTTCAAAGGGGCGGTTAGAAATTAACAACCGTAATATTAAATTTAATTCAGCTTGTCCTTTTGAAAACACTTGTCAAATAGAACCTTTACAAATCAACCATAATGAATTATTTGAAAAATTATTAAATAAAAATATGAATAGAGAAGAAATTAAATCATTAAAATATATTTTAAACTCTAATAAAGATCTTTTCTATAAAGAAGGAGATCGATTAACATGTGTCAAAAGTGTAAAACATCAAATAATTACAACTGCTTCCCAACCGATTTATAGTAAAATATATCGGTTTCCGAAAATACATGAAGAGGAAGTAAATAAGCAAGTTCAGGAAATGTTAGAGCAAAATATTATTCAACCATCCAGTAGCCCTTATAATAGCCCTATATGGGTAGTACCCAAAAAATTGGACTACTCAGGGAAACAAAAGTGGCGCATTGTCATCGACTACCGTAAATTAAATGAAATTACGGTTGATGACAAATTCCCGATACCGAATATAGATTCTATATTTGATAAATTGGGTCGCGCTCAATATTTCACCACTCTGGACCTCGCAAAGGGGTTTCACCAGATATTGGTGGATGAAAAAGATCGTCTAAAGACCGCGTTTTCTACACCGCAAGGTCACTTTGAGTTTGTACGGATGCCATTCGGACTAAAGAATGCTCCGGCAACTTTTCAAAGGATGATCAATTACGTTTTAAAGGACTTTATCGGGCGAATTTGCGTTGTCTATCTAGATGACATCCTTATTTTCTCTACATCACTACAAGAACACCTCTCAGCTATTAATAAAATATTTTCAAAATTAAGAGAGTTCAATCTAAAAATCCAAGTGGATAAGTGCAAATTTTTCTCTAAAGAGACAGAGTATTTAGGACACATATTAACACCAGAGGGAATAAAGCCAAACGAAGATAAAATTAATGTAATTAAACAAATCAAACTGCCTAAGACTCCCAAGCAGATAAAAAGTTTCCTAGGCATTACGGGGTACTATCGCAAGTTCATCAAGGACTATGCGAAAGTAGCTCAGCCTATGACTAAATATTTGAAAAAGGGAAATAAAATCAATGAAAATGATATACAATATAAAGACTCCTTTCAAAAATTAAAAGAATTGATTACAACTTATCCTATACTTCGTTACCCTGATTTTAAAAAGAAATTTGTATTAACAACGGACGCGTCCAACTTTGCAATTGGAGCGGTCCTATCACAAGAAAACCACCCAATCTGCTTCGCTAGCAGAACCCTTAATAATCATGAATGCAATTACTCTACTATAGAGAAGGAACTTCTTGCCATAGTATGGGCCACTAAATATTTTCGGCCATACTTATATGGTACAAAATTTTTAATAAGAACAGACCACCAACCCTTAAAATGGTTGCATTCACTAAAAGAACCGAACGCCAAACTACAAAGATGGCGAATCAGACTAAACGAATACGACTTCGAAATAGACTATGTAAAAGGAAAAGAAAATCGTGTTGCTGATTTTTTAAGTAGAATGGATTCTACAAATAATGAAATTAATCATATAGATGACCCTAACGAAACACCTTCTAATAATTCAGTTATAACAACAAACCATAGTCGCCATGAAAATCAATTCCCAACATCCGATATAATAATTAATAAATATTTGACGCAGCTTTATTTGACAAAAGAAAAAGAAAGGGAAATAATTATAAAATATAAAAAATTTAGACAAATCTTTATTAGTGAAAATGAAATCAATAATAGCCATTATTTAAATGACATACTTAGACGATTCATTAGAAATGGAATAACTGCTATCTATTCCGAATTAAATGATGAAAAATTTGATATAGTAAAACAGAAACTCACGGAACTCTTTTCTAATAATAATAAAATGAAATTCATAAAATGTACTAAAAAAGCAATAGACATAGAAAATGAAGAAGAGGCTTTAAAATTAATAGAAAAAATTCATAAAGAATCAAACCATCGAGGTATCGTTGAAAATTATACAGAAGTGAAAGATGAGTTTTTCTTCCCTAAACTTAAGGAACTATTTCATAAGTATATAAACAATTGCGACATATGTAATCAATCAAAATATGATCGCAAACCAAATAAATATAGATTCGAAATTTCCGAAACCCCGAGCTCTCCTAATAAAATAATACACGTCGATTTATTTTTCTGTTATAAGGAAATATTTCTTACAATAATTGACAAATTCTCAAAGCATTTAATGGTCCAACGTCTTAATGACCGAAATGCAACTACTATTATACAAGCACTTCGCAACAGGTTTGCACTATTCGGTAGGCCAGATAAAATCGTTGTCGACAATGAGTTCGATAGTCTTAATATCAAAAACTTCTTTAGAACAGAAAATATAAACGCTCACTTTACGTCACCCAGAAGCCATACCGGAAATTCTACAATCGAACGAGCTCACGGAACTTTAAGCGAACACCTTCGTATCTTAGATACACAAAAATCACATTTAACACCGTATGAAAAAATATTATTCGCAGTCGAAAAATATAATAATTCCATTCACTCTGTAACTAAAGTTAAGCCTATAAACTTTGTAAATAACGAAATAACCGATATTGAAAAAATTAGAAAATTAATTGATGAAAATAAACTTAAAACGATTGAAAAACTAAACAAAGATAGGATAGACCCTGACTATAAAGAAGGAGACAAAGTTCTTGTAAAAAATCCCGAAGCTCTAAGATATAAACATAAAAAGAAATATACGTATATTAAATCTAAATTAATTAACGGTAAATTAAAAGATAACCAGAATAGAAATATTCACCCAAGTAGATTAAAAAGAAATTTTAAATTTTCCTCAGGTAACCCAGAAACAAACTCCACTCAACCACTACCACAACAAACTTAAATTAGCACTACTAATTTTACTCCTCACTTCAAATACTTGTTCTGCAAATATTGACGTTCGGGTATTGGAAAATCAAGGTGGATTCCAACTAATCAAACGGGAAGAAATTCCTATAATTCAAAACTATTCTAAAATTCTTCACTTTATAAATATTAGCGAACTAGAAAATACTTTAGCACAAATTGAAAATAATATTTACAACACTTTTAACCAAGACAATACCACATTAAAACAATTACAAATTCAAATCGAAAAAACTCGACATAACATTAAAACATTACTACCACACAGACAAAAACGAGGACTCATTAATTTAGGTGGCAAAATTTTAAAATGGTTATTTGGAAACTTAGACGATGATGACAAAACTGAAATTGTAGAAAACATAAAACTTATTGAACAGGGAAATTACAACTCCATTCAGACCATAAATAAACAGATCAAAATAAACGACCAATTTCAGAAAAACCTAAATATTCTACAGAAACGAATTAACGAAAACCAAGAAATTTTAAATATTACACTGAGAGAACAAAACAACACCTTTAGCAAAAGCATAAAAAGTTTACAGTTTCTTTCTAGTTACACAAATATTAACTTACTAAATTCAGAAATAGACAAAGTCCAACAAAACATTCTTTTCGCTAAACATGGTATCATGACTCACTCCATTTTATCCAATGAAGAAATTGATGAATTTGAAATCGATGTTTTTAAATATAAAGAAATAAAAAGTTCACTTATTAGTCTAGATAATAATATTATTTTTGCCATTTTGATTCCTAACGTTGCAAAGGAACTTGCAGTTGGATATAAAATTATTCCAGTACCTAACAAAAATTTCGAGGAAATAAACATTGAATCTACTAATATATTGAAATTTAAAAATGAAATTTACTTTAATAATAAACAGAATTGTGAAAATAAACTAAAAGTAATAAATGGTTGTATAAAAAATTTAATGAATAATAATTTTAAGAATTGTACAAAAAGGAAAAATATTAATTTTGAGATTGTGGAAGTTTCATCTAATATTATCTTAGTAAAAAATGCAAATAATGTAATGTTAGAAAATACTTGTAATAACATACAATACAAACTAATTAAAACTAACTTAATTACATATTATAATTGCACTATAAAAATAGATGACGTAATATTCAAAAACATAGAGAGAAAAATTAACAACCACATAATAATACCAAACTATTTAGAACCTTATAATGTTAGTTATATACCAAATTTAGAAAATATTAATTTGAAGCAAATTGAAAATTACAATGAAATAGAATTTGTAAAATTTGAAATTAAAAACCATTATATTTTAATACTGTCAAATATCTCTATTGTATTGCTTTTAATAATTTTTATTACAAAATACTATATGAAAAAATTTTATAAATGTAAAAAACGGCCAAACGATACAAATGAAAATAATAGTAAAGGAAATATAATCTCTGGAGCTCAGGAGAGCTTCCAGCTTAACGAGGGGGGAGTTATATATTCGCTTACGCCCGGAACACCAAAAAATAAAATTTAACTATAACTAAAATTAAATCGAACGTTGCGATCAAATTTCCATACTTTATTACTTAAACCTATTCTAAATCATTTAATCGCAACGTGATTTGACAAAAACAAAATATTTATTTTAAATTAAAATTAAAATTCAACGTTGCAATTAAACTCCTATATGAAATCATTTAATTGCAACGTGATTGAACTTTTACAGACAAAACTAAAGCAAAGTTCCAAATATTCAAATTACAATATTAAAACTTTCCCATGAGAATTATTCTAAACAATTTTTTGCTTACTAAACAGTTATTTCTTATAAATAGAGTAAATTCAATAGCAACTTGGCTTGGTTGGTAATTCAGTAGCTCGTTAGTTATTAAATCGTTTTGCCGTTTAGAAAATAAAGATTTAAAAATAAAGTTAATAAGTTTGGAATTAGAAATTAAAGTGTAATTAATTAATAAATGAAATAAAAAGAACTTTTATAAATCTTAAAATATTTTTTTGTGTAAAGTAAAAACTTATAATTTAATTTGCATAATAAATATAGTATGTGTTAATGCAATATTGTGTTCTACGATGTTATTGACTGTGAAGAAATTAATTTTGTGTTTTAATTCAAGTGTTTTGTGTTTATAGTGCAATAATCAAAATAATTACTATAAATCGTTAATGTTTGAAAAAAGTTAGTAATTTCCCCAATAATATTTTTGAACATTGCTTTTTTAATGCAATTTTAATCAATGTCAATCATTATCACAATTGACCTAAATTTCTTTGAATTTTACTGCAAATTAAATTATAAAATTTTTTTTTAACGCATAATTGTCACATAAATGCTGTTTCATTTAAATTTTACTGGAAGCAAAGCCTTAACAGCTCATACGAGTAAATCAGAGCCTTTACTGCAATTGAATTTAAAAATTTATTGTATCTGTTATAAAGTGCTTACAAACGTATTTAATGGTATGTAAACAAGAACAAGCCATATTTCCTCTTTCATTTATTCTACTGTTTGCATTCTATTAAAAAGAAATTTATTTTAAAAAAATATTTTTACTTTTGGTATCTCAACTTAACCTTTTATGTGTACTCCTTTATGTGCAATTGAAATTTCAAACCTCAAATCTAATCAAATTTTCTATACTAAAATTTAATTTTATTAATGTTTTACAGAAAATGAATTTAATTAGAAAATTTTATTAATAAAGGCTACAATATGAAACACAATATAAACAAGACTATTAACAAAACTTTTAATTATAAATTAATTAATTTATTTAATTTTATATATTTTGAAATTTCAAAAAGTTATAGTTTAGAGAATATTGTATTTTTAATTATAAAATTATATATATGTATATGTATATATATATAGTTGTAGTATTAAGTTCTAAATTTATATGCATATAATAATGTGAGTGTGAGTTTGTTGTAAAACAAGTAAAAGTTAAAATAGTTTTATAATTGGTTTGCTTATATGAATTAAAATGTTCAACAGTTCTTCCTTTTAATTACGTACATATGGTATGTATGAATGTATATAAGTAAGTATATACAGTTGGTACCTATATTTTATTAAAATATTTTTCTTTGAAATCAAATGCAGATTCTTTTTTTATTTAAAGTAGATTGTAAAAAACTATAATGGGAAATGAAGTTAAAAAGCTAGAGAAAAATTATAAAAATTTCATTATCACTTCAGGTGCCTTAATAAACTATAAAAAAGTATAACATTTTTTTTTTTTATGAATAAAAAACTTTTATTATATTAAAACTATCGTTGCTTTTTATAAATTTGTTATGATCCTTTTCATTATTTTATGTTTGAATTTTAATGTTATACTCATTTGTGGGAAAAATATAAATTATAAGAGTATTTTAAAGTAAAATAATTTTTACAAATAGGGTCAGTTAAAAATTTATTGGTTGCTAAAGAGTAATGAACTTGAACCTCAATAAGAGAAAATTTCAATGGAACAAGATTTTTACTTTAATTTAGGAGATTTGCCTACTTACCAAATTCATTTTTATATTAATTTTATTTTATAAAATAAAACTACAACACTCATTTACTAAAAATTTAAGAAATGCCATAACAAACTCAAAAATTAATTAAAGATGTTCGTAAAAGTGTTATATTCAGGAAGCAGATATGCTGGTGAAGCTGGGGGACAATTCCTATTTTGTTGGACTGGAGCCCTTTTTCGGGATTGGATCTGGCAAGATCTGTGAGGCGGTAAGAAGCAAAGTGGAAGAAAAAAAGCTGAAGCTATAGGGCATACGACCGGGACTCCGGGTCAAACGCAGATGCTTTTGTGGAATTATTCCCGGGGAATCATGTGACAATTCTCCCAGGTTTCTTGATAGGACACTGCAGGCATAGAAAGTACCTAAGAAAACTGTGCCTAGGTACTGACGGGTCTTGTAGTTACTATAAAGAAGGGGAAAAGACTTTTCAATGAGTATAGAGTGTTGATCCATAAGAGAAGGGACAGCTTGGGCATGCCGTTGTGGGTTTTCTCAACGGTAGGTTTCGAGGTGGTTCTCTAGGCTGGACACTGGGAGCTCATGGTAGGGGCACAATAGACATTTTAGGTCGCGATGCATCATCGCTCCATTCTGCAATCTACAATCCACTACAGGTTATATTATTTTTATAAAATCAAATATCAATTAAATTTAGTATCGTTTCTAATTAGTAGTCAACTAATGATAGTGTACTACTAAATTTACTCCACATCTCAGATTTAAAATCAATATAAAAACCTTTATTGTTTTCTAAAATAACAATGAATTTCACTAAATTAAATAATAATTTTTACAGAATTTTCCAAGAATTTAAGAAAAAAATATTATAAAATTAATCAAATTTTGCTTTAAAAATTCGATGAGATTAGCGAACCACCAAATCAATTTTTAAAATTTATTTTACAAATTTAATTAAAATTCTTTTTAGATTATGGTGATCATTTGTAAAACAAAAGGTAGGTGCTCTTATCATGTTAGCGTTTATAAAATGTTTTGAAATTTCTATTTTCTCTGCAATAAATAGCTTGTATGGGGAAAGCATATACGTTATACGTTATCCCTTCTAGATAAGTGCAGCTATTGTAAAAATCCTTTTTGTTGTACACATACAAAAAAAAATGTTAAAAGCTATACTAAAATTTAATTTTATATCTAAAGAGCTATTTCTATTGATTATATATACGGAGGATAATGCAATATACGTTTATAAAACTTTAATATAGTTAATTTCCTTTATAACAGAATTAAAACATGCTTGAAATCTTTTAAAGTATAAGGACAACAAAGCATAAAAGTAGAAACTAGCTATTTTCGTACAATATGTATGTATATAAAATCCTTCTATTGTGTCATACAGCCCGATAACATATGCATTTTTAGATGGTTGAACAACAACAACGTCAGGTTAAAAAACTTTACTGTTTCATAGCACATTTGTTGTATGCTTTATTTTTTTATAATCTTAATAATAGAATAATGATAACCCTAAAACATTTTTAAAATAAAATAAATTCGATATAATTTGTAAAATAAAATTTTTGTATCATCCTTACGATTACCAATATGTTGTGTGGAAATGGTTTGGAATGAAATGTTAACAAGCACACCTAGATAATCTAGAATTTATATAGGAATGCGGTTATTAAACTGACAGGAAAATTATATAGTTTCAGTTGGATCTTTTATCCAATATCACCTGTTATATTTTTTAAAAAGATTAATACCTATGCTATCTACGTAAAAAATTGTCTTTATTTTCGAGTCGTTGGAGTTGAATATAAGTTAAAGCTATCTTACTCTGTTAATTTATTTAAAATTTCGTGTGCAATACTCAGAGTCATCGGAGTCTAAAATATATATTTTTTATTTGCTAATATAATATCTTTAACAAACTCAATTTTCCTTCGAGGACTTTGGAAGCTTTTCCAGAGATGTGATCTTTGCAATAAACCTCTGATTACGCTGAAAAATTTGTATAGAAGATATGTAAATAAATTCATTAATATATTATTCTCGGCTAGTTGGAAGATGATTTGAGTTTTTCATTTTTATCGTATCGAGCTACTGTGGGAGTGTCTGCAAGCGCTAGTAGAACTAAGTAAGAAGAATAAAGTCATCCTATATTTGATCGCGGCACATGGTAATGTCTATGGAAATAAGGAAACGGATACTTTTCTAAATTTGAAGCCCTTTTGTGATCTGTCAACTATGTTATATGGATGTGCATCGGGTTGAGCAATTGAAGCAGCGGTAGCAACAGTACTAGAATTGTATATTCGGAATGCCAGCGGACAATCCTCTTCATTTTAGAATGGTCTTCCAGAACGGTTAATAAGAGATGTTAGATTCACAATTTGTCTCCTTACTATACTTTGCAGACAGTTATTTCTTGTAATAGGATAAACGGCTAACCGTTGGCGTGTCCTCTGCAAAGCATTAGGTGAAAGACGGCTAATTTACCTAAAGAGGATATGTGATGGCACCTTGAAATTTTTTGTTTTAAAAATTACGAAAAGTAGATACAGAAAGAATAGTTGGACACACTTTTCATACAACTAACTTTTGAAAAGTTCATTTTCCTTAAAAGTGGTTAAAAGAAGGTTGTAATTTTATGCACTGTAAAATTGTAATCTTGCATTTTCTTCTTAAATTTAGTTTATAAAACAAATGAATTGCAAAACCTGTAATTTTATTAATTACTTACAAAATTATTGAAGGCATGTTACAATAACAAATAATTTCGTAATCAGTCAGTGTTCTAAAAAAGTTTAATTTTTTGCTGATTTCCATTTTAACAACTCACGAGTAATTTTTCTTTTCTTCAAATCTTTTAATTAATCTTATTGTAGTTTTTTTACGTAAATTTTTTTTCTATATTTAAGACCATACAAAGAAGAATTACTGTTTTTCCTATTTTTAAATAGTTTTGACCACAAGCGCTCAAGCCTTTGCACATGCATAGATTTATAGCCTTTCCATTATCATTTTTAAGTACCATTGATTAATGACTTTTTCACACGAAATGTAGAAGCATATAGGTATACAAATGAGTTTAAATTTTGTGGTTTTAGAATTTAATAAAGTATTTTTAAGCAATTGAGTATTTTGCGACTTTTAACATGCATTGTCATCTATATGTTGCAAGTTTTCTGGTTATAAAATAGTAGATTATAAGGTATTTAAGAGAGGCGGAATAAATACAAGTGTTTCAGGGCTCGCACAATTTTATAAATGATATGAAAGCAAAGAAAGGGTGTTTTTTTTTGCTAAAAATCAATTTTAATATTAAATAAAATTATTAAAAAAAATCTTTTTATAATAACAAATTTAATTCGTGTATAAAGTTTAATAACTTCTTTTTACTTTGTTTTCCTTTAAAATATTTATTTGTACAATATAAGCACACATATTTCTTCACACACAAATATTATTCTTTTATATAATATACACGATAAAATCAACATTAAAGATTCTTTGATGAAAAGCTTGTCTGCATTTTTATTTTATAAACTTTATTTTTTCTCTTTTATTCTTATACAAAAGTTTACATGTGTTACAAAGGGACCTTCAATAATTCTCAACCTTTATATTAAAAAAAAAAACTCATATTTCTTGATACGCAACACATACACACACACAAAATATAAACACAATCTAATATTCTTGAATTTATGAAAAATTTTTTTCTTGTTGCTAACTGGTGTTGCCATTATTCGTGTACATAACAATTTTTCTTTTTTTATATAAAATGTTTCAATTTTATAAAAATTGCAGTTTTGTTCAAGAAGGAAAATGGGTTTTAAATTTTTTTCTTAGCTACTTTTATTACTATTTTTTTTCGTTTTGTTTCCAAGTCTTAAGGACATTTATTATTAAATTTTATATGAAAAGTTGATCTTCATGATTGTGAATTAGTATTGACAACATTAAAAGAAAATGTAGTAAACGAATATTGACTTGCGTAAGGTATTGACGTCTTATTCATTGAAAAATAAAGAATAATAGTTCTTAGTTTCGAAACAAGAACAGTACAATTAAATATGAGTTTGTAAATACCACTAGAATTAAATATTTTTAGTGCAATGTAAAATAGAAGTACGTATTTTCAAAATTTCGATGGTTCAAAAATTTAGTCAACTGATAGGAATTATTGCATAATTATCTGTACCCCGTATGAAACTTATTTCTAAGCGTATTTTTAATATTTCCTCCTTATTATTACATTCACATTTATTTATTATTATATTAGCTTAAATAAAGCTATTTACAAAAATTAATAACAAAAAATTCTTTATTTTTTTCCATTACATGCTTTCAATATATTAATACGAAACCTGACTATCATTCTCAAGATGTGGCCGAACCAAGACAACAAAAAAAAGTTTTTATTACATAGGAACCATGAATTTCGTTTGTATAGCACTTAACGAAACCCCAAAACGGAATTAGCCTTATCAATTATGGCATTGTAATGTTACCTAAAAGTCATTCTTCTCGTCAAAGAAAACGCCAAAGTCCTTAACATAACCAATTCTATCAAGTTTATCTTTATTCAAAAAATAAATCAAGGTTATAGATAAGAAATGGCGAGTGTAGCTTGCAACGGAGTTTTTAGAGAAATTAAGGCATAGATTATTGAAATTGCACCAATTTGCAAACGAATTTAAGTCATATTGCAAGAGCAGTTGAGGACGAAAAACGTCATTAATACTAATAACAAATAGAGGAGGACCCAAATGACCATTGTGAGTTACACAAGAAAATCCAACAAGGTAATTGAAGATTCAAGACGAAAATTAATATTATATTTTCTACTACACGGATAAAAACTGATCTATTTAATATGGTGGAAAGCCATACTTTCACAATTTTAAAAATATTATGCTATGGTGAAACGAATCGAAAACCTTCCTTAGAACAGTATAAATAACGTTCGACTGAAACCTATCTTCCATCGTATTTATAAATTTCATCAGATTGGTGGCTGTAGCCCTCATTATTCACATAATAACTATATTATATGAATATGAAGGAATGATTATAGTAGTGTACACAAGTGTTCCATTAGGTAAAACAATTAAAGAACTATATATAAAACTATTATTAAGCAAAATGACAAAAAGGAGGTGAGATTAAAAACAAAATAACGTACAGAAATTTATAATTAAAAAATGTATAATATAAAAAAAAAAAAATTTATAAAA